GATCAGCGATATTGGACAAGTGGTATGATAAGAGCCTTCTCTCGCAAATTTAGACAGTCTTCTATTTGAAGAAGTTTTTCGCAATGTTCATACATCATTCACAACTAATCAACAGAACAAAGACACACGTTATCTTTGAAAAGTTATGTTTTCTGGCTAGAAAAGTGGTTTTTTTTAAATTAGAAGTGACAAGGATGACATTGCGCCTATAAATATCCACTTTGTCTATATATATCACACAAGAGAGTTGGATTTGTCTATTTAATTACACAACAATTAAAGTAAAAACTTGAATGTATTCATTATCTGAGTGGTTCAGACAAATATACCAAATCTCACTCGATATGGATGCCACAAAAGGACACAGTGAATTTCTGTCAACAGAAATCCCACGAAAGTAAATAATTGGAAAGAGTTGGGTATCTTGACTTCAATTATTTAGTAATTGAATAATGGAATGTCTGAGAAGAGATTCCAATAATCGAATTCAACTTTCACGTTTCAAACTTCCGAATCATGTATGAAGACGAACTATTATTTGTCATGTCTCAACCAGTTATTCATATCTAATGCCATTCGAAGTTACGTAAATGCGAGCATTCATAGTAAGTAAACCTGACATGAGCAGTGTCCATAAAATCTCTGTCAACGTCTGCACTATTAAATAAATGCTAGTTATGGAAGCATAGTAAGCCCGGGTAGCTCAGTCGGTAGAGCGTGTGGCTTTTAACCACAATGTCCAGGGTTCGAGCCCCTGCTCGGGCGTTCTCTGTTTTTTTTTCTTTCGCACAATCTTATTCTTTGTTTTCACTAGATGTAATTGTGAATGAGACTATGGACATTCACACCCACACCCACACCCTCATTATTTATTCAATACATAATACAAAAATAGTATTTGAAATATTATACTACTAAAATTTCGTCATTCATTAGTTAAGAATTTAATAACATGTTCAAATCCAAAGGTAACATCACCCGAAACATTAATATAATCAAATAGTAATCTTCAAACAACAATAACATCATCGTCACATCGTTTACATCCACCACCATGGTCATATATATAGTTACCTGATGAATAATATTGTTAAACAATTACGTATAGTTTTTTATAAACCAATTGATCATGATATAATTGGTTTACAACAAACATCATTATATGGTCATTATGCATTTAATCAATAAATGATTAATGAACAAATAAGTCATCCCGATCTAACATTAATATTAACAGTTTATGGCACAAATACTGGTTTTCAATAACAACAATTGCATCAAGTATATAGAAATAACATCATTTATACAATCACCATCTATTTTATGAACATAATCAATAACGCTTTTAAGAAATTTACCTATACGATGTCCAACAGATCAAACAAATATGCCATTAAAATCATCTTATTTAGCTTATTTAACATAACAACGTTTTGAACAAGATCGTCTACTAACAGGATAGTTACAATACGTATGGAGTGAAGTTGTACTTAAACATGAATATACACAAAGTGTAATGGATACACGAGACTATCCAATGAATATACATAGTCCAATATCAACGAATATTAGACAGTTAACGGAAAAAAGTATTCGTTTTTAATTAGTTATCAGCTAAAGATATGGACAGCTACAAATTATACTAAAAATAAAAATTGTTTAATAAAAGCATAAAGTGAACTAATAAATAATAATCATAGAAGAAAAATACCACAAGCTGATTTAGTTTCATTAAGATTAACAATACAAGAAGAATCAATAACAAAATTAATTAGTTCATCATCAAATTCAACAACAACAAATGAATCATCAATATCAAAGAAAACTTCATCAACAACATCGGTAGAAAATGTACAATTTGTTTTACATATTAATGAGCAAAAAAAGAAAATGTATTTTACTAAAAACTACACGATTAAATGATTTATTATCAGCATTTGATTGTCGTTCATTAAATATTCAGGAAGTTTATGCTATAGAATTTACTTTCGATAATCATATTTGAATTAATGATAATTAAGAAAATGAATTAAATACACATAAATCAATAGTTGCAAATAAAGATTATCCAACAGTACTTGATACTCATGTTCATACTAATAGCCTTAAATTCTTACATAACATTTTGCTCGTAATTTATCCATCAATACAATCTTAGAATGAACGTTTAACATCATTATCATCATCAAATACAAATATAGTCGATAAAATAAAATTCTTTGATTTTTCATCATTAGTTTCAACATCATCATCATCATTAACAAAGTATCCAAAGAATATGACAATACCAAACTATCTATACATAACAGTTATTCGTTTACCAAATTATGCAAATTCATCAAAAGATGTATTAGATGAAGCTTCACATTCAATTTATCATCAATAACATGTCACCCACATCGTAAACAAAAAGATTTAATATCAACATCAGTATCTATTCCATTAACAACAATAACAACAATAAATAATACAACAAGAGTTGATAATAAAGAGGATGAATATTATGAAGATGATATTGAACAAATAGAATCAACAACACCAGTACAACAATCAAATCCAATTAATAAGAATAAGAACATTACAAATTCTAATTTTTCATGATAAAAATACAAGTTTTGGTACAGATTCAACACATTTACAATAGAAACCTGAGGAAATAATTCAAATACAAAAAATTACAGGGTAGATCAAAATAAGGTGATAGAAGAATTTTAAGGTCAAACAATGAAATTACAATTGAGTAAATATCCAATAACAACTAAAAATGAAACAAATGATAATAAAATATGATTTAACAAAAACTTTAATATCATTATGAAGAGATTATACGAGATGCATTAACAATACACGTAATGCAATGAATAAAGCGTTTAGCACAAGAACAAATAACTGTATGAACATCATTACCATTATCTTTTAGTTCAACATTATTTGTACGTTCAGTTGAAAATCGTATGCATATTATGAAAATATGAATAACAGGCCCCGATGATACACCATATTCAAATGAAAGTTTTATATGTGATGTTTATTTTCCAAGTGATATCCAACAACACCATCATCAATTATTTAGAAACAACAGCATATTAAATACATGGCATAGCAGGTCGGAAGAAAAATAGAATATAACATCAACAATTTTACAACTTCTTGTCTCTATCCAATCTCTTATATTTATACCTGAACCTTATTTGAATGAACCTGGTTATGAACGTACGTGTGGTACAGCAACTCGTAATGCTCAATCACTTGAATGTGTGGCTAATATTCGTTTAACCGTTGTTATTACATACAATGGTGTGAGCATTGAACTTATTAATTACTCTTGATTAAACAACAACAGCGTTTATTTTACTGATAATTTCTAACATATTTTAATACTGATTATACAATAATGAATTTATTCAAGATGGCTCGATATATGAACTCACATTAAAATATTGGACATAATATTAAAAAGTTTAATTGTTGCAACATATCAATAGATTTCAACTTGATACAATCTTACTTACATCATCTTGAGACGATAAATAAAACAGATCTATCTTCATACAGTATGGTTGGTACTCAAGTAACAGAGGAAATTACGCGTCGCTGAAAGTTGCTCTCTTCACATTAAACAAACTTAAATTTGAATATCTATACCTTATCCAAAATTATGATTTTTGAAAATCATAAAGAAATTGATAATTAGGTTTCGATTACCTCAGTAGATCAATTACTGGTGTCGATTCCATATGTCAGTCATGTGGGAGTAAATCCGCCTTAATCGGTCGATCCTCCTCATACTGACATTAGGAACCACAACAATGCAGCAATATTAACAACAACGACACCAATAGCAACAGTAATATTCGAAATGATGTGGTTATTTATTAATTAAATATTTGTATATCTATGTACTCTTTAGTTTATTGACTAATTAATTTAATATTTTTGTTGTTTTTGTATATTCCTGTTCATTCTGATCACAATGTAACTCCTGAAGATGTACTCAGAAGAGTACGAAAGCTCGAGAAATATTTTGTAAATTTCTGATAGAAATAAATGTTTTTTACAGCAGTTCTCTCCTTTTTTTAAAATCGATAGAGTTGCTTTAGAAAGCAATTGGAATTGAATGTTCATGAGAAAAAAAAAGTTATTGTTATTAATAACAATACCAATAAATTCACATCCCTTACCACGCACACCCCATCTCTACCCTCATCCACACCTACACCCAGACGCAGATCGAGATCCACGCCAACACCTCACACCCACACTCTAAAGTCTCTTAAAGTCTTGAAATCTGTTGTTTGCCCCTTGGTTGGGTAACAGACAAAATCAGAGAGATTCTCATATGAAGGACCCTTTCTCTTAGGAAAGGCAATAGCGAATGAAAAATCTACTTGATCTAAGAACAGCGAGGAAACAATCTAATTTTTCATAGAAAGTTGAAGCAAAAGTCGGATTGGGTGGATAGAAATCTTCCTTATATCTCTAGCCTCTTTGATTTTGGTGATATCTAAAAGCTTCTCCAATATCGATAAGAATTTCATCAGGCATCACCATTTACTTCCAAATACTATAACTAATACAGTTGTCAATAATATGAATGATAAAAGTCATTCCACCAAAAACGATTTCCCAATTGGAACATGTTACATCAAATTACCTCGATAGCGCAATACAGCTTTGCATATCGCTTCAACGTGCCGATGATCGGTCCCACAACATCCACCAAATACGTTGAGGGTTTTGAATTTCTCTAAAAGAGTGCTATGCTGCTGAGCTAATTCAATCGGATTGCCATCGTCCAGTTCCACACTGTTATTGAGATCGGCATGACTTTTGGTCGATGCATTAGCTCTAATGCCGCCAACTCTTGCTAACCACGGCTCATCAGCAACCACGGTATTTGAAAAATGGCTCGGATGGGCGCAATTAATCATGTAATACACGGGAGTACTATTAGTTACTGCATCTACGTGCTCAATCGCTTCTTTCAGAGTCTGTCCGGTGGGTAACTTCCCATTCATTTCGACAGTGAACGAGATCACGACGGGCATTCCGACGGACTTGGCAGCTCGCGTGATTCCAATGGCTTCTTCCACATAGTTTATCGTAAATGCGGTCACCATATCTGCCTCAGTGGCACTGAATGTAGAAATCTGTGCTAGATGATAGTGTTGAGCTTGTTCCTCAGACATTGGATTCGTCGGATTGTATCCATCCCCACGCGGACCAATGCATCCGCTAATAACTATCTTGGTCTTTTCAGTTTTATATTCATTGCGAATGTCGCAAAGTAGCGAAATGGCCTTACGATTCAGGGAGGCCAAGGCCGTCTCGGAGTAGCCAAGTTTCGTTCCCCAATCCAGGTTGGCGCGCCAGGTGGCACTTTCAAGAATCAAACCTACTTCCAAACTCCTAGCCAGGGCAGCATATGTGCGGAAGTACTTCATAAGTGCTGCGCATCCATCGTCATCCTTTAATAAAGTAAAGGCAGCGAAGTCGGGCAATTCTAAACCCTCGTGAAAAATGAGCGTGGTTTCCATACCACCATCAGTGAGATAGATATCGCGACAGAGTTGTGGCAATGCATGTCGGTAGGTTGATATATTGGTCGTCCGTTGCATCATATGGTTGCAAGTTCTTATTTTCTGGAAATTCAAATAAATCATCAATCAAACAATTTCATGGAAACTCAGTTTGTAGGGAGAGATGAGTACAAGTAGATACATATGTCTACTTTCGATTTGGGTTGAGTTAAGCAACTCAAACTTGTGTAGAAGATAACGTGTCAATTTCTTACTTGGATCGGATTGGATTAGGAGATCCAATTTTTTATGTATCATATAGAGAGTTGCGTTATAATGGTTTGTTGATACGAGAGATTTCCATTGCGTTGAATATCAATCATTTTGAAAGATCTTTTGATGCCTTTTTTAACAGCTTAACATCAGTTGAAAAGCACAGGTCGTGTGTGGTGATGGAGATGGAGGTAGCAATGGAATGTATGTGTGAGTGAGTTTAGAAATAAGACACCGGCTACCTATCAATTGCAAACATACAGAAAATAAATTTTAAGTGAATTAAAATTTCCGAAATTCCGTTTGATTTAAATTTGATAATTTTAACAAATTTTGGTAAAACGATTAAAATTTATATTTTACTTTTAAAAATTTGATTCCTGCGAACAAATATTGAAAATAAATTGTTTTAAAAGATTTATAAAAATTTATCTTTTTTTTACAAAGCATGCTGCAATTTGTAGACGTCGCAAGATTTTTAATCAGAGAGATTTTTTAAAATTAGTACTATTGCTATAATTTGTAGAGGATTTTAGGTTATAGTTGAATTAAAGTTTTTGTTTGAATCTAGCTCCGAAGAATTTTAACAGAAGTCTAAAGTAGCGTACATTCTTTTTTTTTCTTTTGTTATCAATCAATTAATACTTATAGTGAACGAGCAAGAGCCGTCGATTTTGGGTGAACTAAGAATGATTTTATTTAAATACAAAGTGAGTTTATATAGACAGAGTATCATAATTTGTGATCACAACTTGATATTTTTTCCGAATGTGATATGAGTGGTTTGATTTGTACTCGTCAAGAGAAGATAGTCATTAACATCTCTATATCTAAGCTCTCAGTTTTAGGGTGTCATTTTCTGTATGTTTGCTTTTTTGTATAGGTGCTTTTGCATCCCAATCAGTAATTTCTACTCAATGCTCGATTCAATTTTACTATCATAATTATATAGTCTATTCAAAATCAAAGGCAGCTGATGATATTTATAGTAACAAATATGTCTGATGAACTCTATAAATCGCAGTCAATTAAGAACATAAAAAACTATTCTATTTTAGCACACTCTACAGATTTCAACTACTTGAGTTTAAATAATAAACCTCGATATCTAGTGAACTCTATAAATTGCAGCAGTTAGAAAGAAAAGAAGCACTATTGTAATTTAGCCCTCTCTACAAATCACAGGTCATTCAAGACAAAAGATGAAACTCAATCTTTAGCGACTTCTACAAATTTCAACAAATTTGAAAATATAAATAAAATTTTAATTTCTTTTAAAATTGTTATCAGTAAAGTTTTTGAAATTTGAAAACCGAAAATTTAAAATCTAAAATTATTTCAAATTTGAATAAATTAAATTAAAAAAGAATAACTGATATTGAATTTAACAGACTTTTAATTTCGATTTTATGTTCGCAAATGAGAGGACACAGAGCCACACCCATTCATCCATACCCACATCCTGCTTCGACAGTAACACTGACATCCACGCTCATACTCTCCATTTATCTGTTGACTTCCAGAGAAGTAGTCGGGAGTTCATTTATCAACAGTAGTGGATAGTTTAAGATGTGACTCATTTATATATGTTGTT